CTTCTGGCACAACAGTGGGTGTGGGAGTAGGAGCGAGAGGAGAATACAGAAAAGAGGGGATGAGGGAACGGACGTGGGTATATGCAGACGACTAGGGAAAGACAAAGAGAAACAAGGGAAAGAGAGACACGTCGAGGTCGAGGACGTCCATTTGATCGAGTCCGTTTTCCCACGCGCTTCTTGCGGTGTAGCCATGTCGAGAGACGTGCTACACGTCTGCGAGTTGCACTAAGATGGCACGAGCACGCGTACCCATCACAGCGGCCGCTGTGCGAGTGCACGTCTTCGTGTGTAGTGCCCTCTGCGAGCTGCTAACTACGGAGAGATATAAAGAATGTATACGCGATCGAGCACCGCGCTGACCAAAAATATATTCATATTTCTCGGTATCGGCTACCTACAAATTAGGTACATGCGGGTATATCGGCGACGATCCGGTATGGTCAGGTATCTCATTCTAGATGCTGTTCTCATTGGGGCTGAGTGCCTGAACTACAGCAGCAGACCGTATACCATTCAACAGCCCAAGACTCCTTGCTTCTCGGTAAGTTGTTCGTATTTATCGCACACTATCACAAGATTACAATACAGAGTCCTTATATTACATGCCAGGTTCGTTCACCGCTACTAACTCATCTTCATCACTCGATAGGATAATAATCTCGTCATCAGACGAGGGTCTGAACTTCTTCTTTGCGGGATGGGAAGTACCACGACTGTTGCTGCTGTTGGAGATGGTTAAATCGACGCAAGGTGCGTGGTCACTTGAGAGCCGGGGAGTTGACATGGCCGATGCCAGACGCTTTGTACTCCTGGGGAAAAGCGACAACACGCTGAGGGAATCGTCATCCTCGACTTTTGGTGAGGGCGACTCTGTTCCTTTCATTGCTCTAGCTGACTCGTTTCGCTTCGAGGGCCCAGGCTGACAGGAAGACAGGTGCGTGGGTGATTCAAAGACATCCATGATCGCCTGATACGTTGATGTAGGAGTGTAACAGCATGGGGAGCCAGGTTCGTCCCAAAAGTGTCCCTCTTTGTCGTCTACTGATGGCGAGGTAGATATCTACTTACATTCAGATCCACGCAGTAAAATACGACTGTAAGTCTGCGTACCATTTTCAAGCCGTGGCTCACACAAAACTCCGCTGTTCCTCTGGGGTAGGAGAATTCTAGGATTTTGGCGGGTACATCAATGGTCACGTACTCCTCTTCGGAGGAAGCATCCGTTGATGGCTGCCCCTCGGCCGAGTGCGGGTGATCACTTGCCGCTGCCCTCGTTGCATCATTGAGCTGACTGCCATCAAAATGGACTCTGTAGGAGTTATCGCCGTCTTGAGTCACTCGGTCACGGATTGTAAATGCGTGGGCTCGGATAGGATAACCGAAACCTCCCTCAAGCTAACACTGTTCCTGTGAGTCCTGAATTCTGAATACAATGTTATGACGTACACGGAATATTGCTCGCATGTAAATTCCCGCCCAGATATTGTCGTGAATATATTTCTGTACTTTTGCTAGCGTCCAGTTGAAGTAGTGTATGAAGAGATGTTAATTTTGTCACGTCTGTCTGAAGAGATTGTGGAGAACGTAACCCGACAATGTCCCGAGGAGTGTCCAGAGAAAGCGAGTGCGATGTGACCGGACAGAGGTAGTTCCCTAAGACCGAGAGTGATGGGAAGGTGTTAGGCACATTGTCTGCTATGTTGCCGTGCTTACGGGCGAGAGCGCCCTTGGCGTTCTCGCGTAACGTGTCCCGAAGGTCCTTTCTCCACTCAACGCAGAACCGTAAGAATTGTGGTGCTGGACAGCCCGTGAATGCGTGAACCAGCTTCTCGCCAAGGTCCCCCTTTGCCAGTTGTGAAGCTACCTTTATGCCACAGCCCTGGACACCGCTCTGAAGACATACAGGTAAGTTTAGTTGCTAGGACTTGGATACACGTCAAGCGCCTACCATGTCGTAATCTGCCCCAGACAGCAATGCCACGAGAAGCAGGCGGTGGCAGTCCCATCCACTTTTGCGAATAGACTCTTCGGTAAAGATCTTGACCTGATGAGATCTCTTATTTCCGTCACTCTCCGGGAGTCTATAGATGCACCTATAAGCAAGTACTCGAGTAGTTTCAATTCAAAGCTGACGCACTCTCGGATGACATGCTTTGCACCAAAAAGAATGACATCACTATCCGTTGTGAGGACGCCATCTAAGAGATTATGGCAGCTCATGGCAGCGAGTTCAGCTTCAGCTTCACCCGGTGCCTGGCATGTATTCAGCATGAATTCGGTAAGCTAATCAAAAGTTGAACTCGTACTGTGTGCTGGTTAAACCCGTAGACTTGAATAAAATCTCTGAAGCCCTCCTCAAGGTGGTGCTTGTGCTTCACATCAACGCGCTTGCCGCGTTTCTCAGATGGTCGGTCCATCCCATCAAATACAAATAGGGGGTGAACGGGCAGGCGAAGGAGGTCACTGAGTTTATTCACAAGTATCTTGAGGTCTGCATATTGCCCAACCCGAGCGCTATTGACATGCGAACTATGAACCGCCTCCGAAGCTGCGTACATCCAGGGGTTAACTAGATATTAGCCAGTCTGTACGCATGCAACAGGACTTATGCTACACATACCTGGCATCAATACCAATACGCATCAGCTTGCATTTGGTTCCCGAATCTGTTTTGACCGTATGAAATCCCTCCTCCACTGCATACTTGTTGAACTTGCACCGTGACTGTTCAGTGTCCGGCGAAGACAGGAGCTGGATATGGAGTTAATACTTCAGATCCAAAGCTTGCATGTTACCAGTATAAAACAGAAGACGCACATCCCAAAGCTTAGCAAGGCCCATACTTGAGTAAATTGGCTGAACACGACAATGATAATGGATGGGGAGGAGGGCTAATTAGGGGCTCATAAGAATGCACGCTCAGCTGAAAGCACTGATGTCATCTGTCTCCTATAGCACTATGTGTTATGTTCAAAAGGCACACTGTTTCAGTCCTCGCCTCCCACTGGCGAAGCCAGCAGGACTAACTTCTGACAATAATTCAATGTAAGGAACTTTCATATAGCATACTGTAGTACTTGTGCTTCCAAGCACTGCGAGTATCTCAATGTCAGCTTAGCCCAAGCCCAAGCATGATAATAACCGCATATTTAGTATGTCATAATGACTCACGTTCAGTTTGCTGAATGTTCCGTGCTGCCGCGGATGCGCTTCAGGACCACACGTATCTCCGAACTTGCTTCTGAGTCAATGGACGGCGAATAGGGCTGCTGTGTATTGCACAAACATGACGGCGACTTGGTGTTGCGGTCGCCAGGTTCACCAAGCCGCTGCTGCGCAAATTGCAATTAGCTGTCCATCTCTTCACCTGAACGCTCACCACGCAGCACACTGTGTTTTCCGTCTGCTATAAGCATGTCTACATTTGAGCCCGAGGTTATCCTTGCACAGCTCAAGAGATCGTCGCTTGCGAGCCGGAACCGACAGAAGTTTGAGGAGGACTGGCGGAACAACGTAAGTCATAGAGCATTTCAACGGACAGTAGGACAGCAGTTACTCACAAGGATTATAGGTTGCAAAACGAGTTGAGACGTGGCAGGACGCCAACAAGAATGTGTATCCTCGTCCGGAGGAACAGCTTCGCTGGGAAGCGGGAGTTGTTGAGTATGTCTCCACACTCGCAGCTTACGACCGCCTGGCTGCCAGGAAGAGCAAGGCACTATCACGCTTTGGGAACGACATACCCATTCTTGGCCCACGATTCCTCCCTCCACGGTACCTGCAAGTCCTCAAGCGCCCCGGGAGAGCTGAAATCAGACCAGAAGTTGCATACCTGCACCCGTTCACTGTCGTTCATTCATTCTACATCCCCGAGCTCGTATCGCAGTGTCCAGCATGTGGTTCAGCTGATGTCCAGTCCGAGGGCTGGACGGGTTCAGGTCCTCGAGAGGTCCATGGGCTGTACGAGGAAGAGTAAGCGCTAGGTTTGCAGCTGCGGTGCAACACCTGCCAGGAGAAGAAACAAGTGTCGCAAAATCAGTCTAGCGACTCTCGTTACTGCTACGCCACCACAGCCCTTCATTTTGGACTCGATGGGAGCATTTTCGTGTGCCAAGTACGTGCTTGTCGTCTCTGTGGTGTAAGCGCATCATCTAACACGTCTTCAGTGGATATTCCTTACTTCCTCAAACGCTCCGCCGTCACGCGTGAGCTTTTTGACTTCATCGTTGAGCTACTCCCCTCAACGACTGCAGGTGATCTGGCGGAGAACATCAAGCGTGAGTCAGCTGTCTCGGTCGGCATTGGTTGGACATGAACTTACTGCTCTCTGTTACATTGTAGAGCTCCACCTCCTCGAGTACCGCCGACGCTCCCTCAGCTATGTGGACGCCTTCCGTTACCGGAAGAAGCTCAGCGGAGGCCAAGACTTCTTCATCCGGCCGAAGCTTGAGGAGTTTGCGCACCCTTCTAATGAAGATAACGAGTCGCTGCCTCAGTATTATAACAGGCCGGTGTCAAAAGATGTCGTGACAGAAGTTTTTGAGCACTTCAACCTCAGCGTGAGGGAGGCGGAGTCTCAGGAGTATATGAAAACGCTCACAGGTATGGTTTTGTTCCGTCTATGCAGCTCATTTCTGATATAGAAAATTTTGTCAGCGCAAAGCCTCTCGTTTGATGCAACGTTCCGCACCGCAGCCAAAGCGACGCTGACAAACTCGACGAAGCAGAAGCAGAAGATCATGAGGGGTGGGATCCTGTCGTTATTGAATGAGAACAACGAAATTGTTGGCTGGGTACGTCGCGTTTTCCGACTGTAGCAAGCCGGCGTAACTCACGGATATAATTGGCTCGTAGAGGTTTTGTGAGACCGCCTCACATGCGGAAATCAAGGAGATCCTAACTGGGTTCAAGCATCGCTGCGATGCCCTGGACGTCTCTGGACCTGAGATAGTTGTTGTTGACAACTGCTGCCATGTCCAGAATGCCATTCACGATGTGTTTCCGATTAACAAGGTTGCTCTCGACTTATGGCACCTTGTCATGAGGTAAGCGAATGCGTTACCAGTAGTTAGTGGGATAAACAATTACACCAGTGCAGGTATTCTGGATGTGTCGCCAATACAACCAGAAATCAACGTCAGAAGGAGGTCGCGGCCAGCATCTCCTCCTGTATCGTTGCCCAAAAGGCAGACGGAGTGCGTCACCACGCCATATATCGATCTAGGGAAGAGCAGGAGCAACGGCTGGTTCAGGTGTTCATGTTTTTCGAGCAAGAAGGTGGGATATGGGCCCCTAACGCCTCGAAGGTGTGTCTAGATTTAATGATATTATAATTACTTGTCTCTCAAATCACTCACAAATTATCTTCAATACAGGTCCATGCGGAACAGCTGCGGCACATTCGGAACGGATGCCCTACGAGACCACGCGACGACATAGCCTCTGATGGGAGCCGCATTGAGGGCTCTCACAAAGGTCGGAACGGGCTCAATTGCGCGCAGCCCAGTGGCCTCGAGACCATATCAGCTCCGTGCCATGACTATGTGCTACGCCGGAACATACGCACCGCAAGTCGTCTTGAAGATCAATCCAAATTTGTCCAGTCCACTTTCGGCTCTCACCACATCCGCTTCGTTGACTACATTGCGAGGCTGTTCAACCAGACATGTCAAGAAACCAAGTCCGACAGCCTCACTTGCCTTCCTATCCTACCTACAGTCCGCTCTGGCGAGTCATTCGGCCTCGTACCATCACATCACTTCCTCAGCTTTGGCGGCACCATCGAGGTCAAGATTGAGGACGATGTTCAATTTGAGGTTGACAGTACCACCAGGATGGATGATCGCATGGGGGCCTTAGGAGGGATGGATATCGATGTGCTCGTGCCCAAGTCAGGTCAGTCTGGTAACTCTAGCATCTTCACAGCATAGTTACTCATCGCTTTTCAGGCCCCGAGGTGGTCCAAAACCATGGTATACCCAGCCATCATGAAATCGACATACCATCGCCATGTTTACCTGGTACCAAGGAGACGGACGTCAAATCCACGCATATGACGGCAGCGACAATGGAAACGGCTATAACCGAGTTCGCGGACAAGGCTTTGTCCTCGTCTATAGTTACAGACGGTGGTGATGTAAGTAATTGGCGTGTCGTATTAGTCACTGTCGCGTTCTGACGGACTTTGTGTTAGTCGCTTCTTGCTCCGGGCTTGTCGCTCTCGGACCACACCCCTTTCCAGCTTCCTCCACCCCTTCACTCCAAGTTTCACGTGCATCACGCCCCACTGGCTCTAGCGCCAGTTGAGCCCACACCACCAACTATCCCGGAACCATCATCTCCTGCCAAGCAAAAAGCCGACACCTATGACTTAGACAAGGTCCAGCTAAAGCGCATGCACCGGGAGATGGCAGACAACACATCTTATTTACGGAAGCATGATCTGGATGTGAGTATTCCAATCCTTTTCTCATTTTATCAACGTGACGCTTCGAAGTATCTGACTGTTTTCTACTATTAGTGTCAGGTGTTTAAGAGCATCTCCTCTGCTCAAACTCCTGGTGTTTCAAGGACACTCCATGGCTATTTCCACTCGCATTCGGTACACTCATCCATGGTAGCATGCAGCCAGCTTGGTGGTGCCAAGGCTACGTTTGGACTGCTCGAGCTCCCTCCCGGTCTCACGCGCTCCGAGCATTCCTTCAGCATCTCCACCGGTATCGATGCCCGTGCCCTCCGTATTGAGGGCGGTGTGGAGTTCTTCCTATTTATGGACATGCGCGCCGAGTTCAAGTGGCAGTCTTACAATATGTCATCGAAGAAGTGGGTTCCCGCAACAGACCTTTACAACAGCCGTCTCTGCCGGTTCAACGAAACGAATCAGGTCCCTACCATTGCGAAGCACCCGCAGGCCCTCCTGCGAAAGCTTGGAGAAATTGAGCGCAAGGTCCTCGATAGGATTCACACCCAGAACTTCAAGTGTACGTTTACTTTAGTGTTCCAGCCAGTTCCTGAAGCTGACAGTGACTATAGCTAAATCCAACTCCGAGACTTTCTGGAAGCATCATTGCGAAGCCGTACATCTCATAAAGGAGGATCCGGATAAGGTGCGTAGATAAATATAAATTCTGTCAATAACTTGACTAATGCGGCGAGAGAATAGAGATCTCGCACGCCAGCGACCTGCACTCGCTGCCTAACCGTCATGTATCCTGGAGGGCTCAGCCCTACGGGTAACCACAAGAAGGGAGTTTGTGGCGACGGTGTGCGTCAGATCCGCAAAGACAACGAAGAGCTGCCGCCGTGGCCTCAGCCCCAAGGCGTCTTTACCCGGGGTGAGCACTTCCACCCGGCGGTGTTCCTCAAAACGATCCAGCAAGTTTACGAGCGAACTTTTGTTCGCTCGTCCGGTGAGAGCGAGGTCCTCGAGGCTGAGGCGTTTGCGAATATGGTGACATCCCGCACCATCACCGTCGAGGGTGGCCATGTCCTATTCAAGATGTACCGGGCATTCGCAGCCGACGCATGCACGCCGGACTCGGCGTTGACCATTTTCAACGATGAGAAGTATCTTCGAATTCCTTACCTCGAGAACTAGTTCACGCTCGACTACGTCTTTTTTCATCTCTTTTTCATGATCTTTCACCTTTCTTTTTCTTTTGATCCCGCCTCCACGTTTACTTTACAGATCTTCGTTTTTCTCTCTTAATTTCTATCTTACACTCATGTATAGTAGCCCGGCGAGCGTTCGCGCTATTGTTGGAAGGACTCGAGTCCTTTTCACGCACCGCCAGCAGCTCCCCGCGACGAGCTGGACTGGATCGGCTCGTGCAGTATTTAGGGGCTTGCTTGCCTGATCGTCGTAGCTAGTCACATGTAGTTAGTGCCGTAGGGGTGCCGTTCGGTCTTTTAAATTTGGTCGACTCGGTCATGCACCGATCGCGACCGAATGGACCGAATGGACCGAAACTAGGTCAACCCCTCCGTATGGCGTAGCTGCTGCTGCCCGAGTAGTTTAGAAAATCGATTGTGTCATGTGACAGTGGTATTCGTGTGGCACTGTCTTACATTCGCTCTTGTTAGTCTCTCTGTCTTCCGGTTACC